TGACCGCCGCGACGGATGAACAGTGAACAGCAACAGCAGCTTCCACTTTCGTCCCTTCTCTATGTATGTGTGCGTGTGTGTGTGTGCGTGCGCGCGCGCGCGCGCGCGCGTGTGTGTGTGTGTGTGTGTGTGTGTGTGTGTGTGTGCGCGCGCGCGTGTGCGTGTGTGTGAGTGACTGCAGGAAGTGTGTGTCACGTGCGTGTTTTCTTAGCTCAGCAGCTTTAAATACAGGACCCTCCTCTTTCTACTTTTCGAACCTTGAACTTAAATAGTCCGTTTAATTTAATGAAAGAAGTTTGAGGCGCGAAAATCGAAAAAGAGAGTAAAAATTATTATGTAATATAATTACTATAACATACATAAAATATCGTCAACAATGCTGAAAAAATGTGATTGTTTTGTGACTTCGTTACGTGCACTTCCAGGAAGGAACAGCTAGGAGCCTACATGAGAAGTATTTTGATTTTTTATTTTCTAAAAAAAAAAAAAGAAGATTTAGTCAGAGTTTTTCGGTACTTGCAACACAAATACATTTTTACGTCACTGATTATGAGTGCCAAAGACTACAGTTCAGGTGTTACAAGATAGCTTTACTTTACTTTATCCGTCCTCTTTTACCTCTAGGGCGTCGAGGGAAGAAATAGCTTTCTGTCTCAAGCAAGTTTGATGGCCTGGCTGGGTGGGATATTGAATGTTCTTAGGGTACCTTTCACACCCTGGATCCAGGTCTTTCTTGGTCTTCTTCTTACTTTGTATTTGTACACTGATAGTTTCCTGTACAAGTAGTAGGCTTTACTGGCAAGTTCAAGATAGCAACATGTAGAAATGAAGGAGAAGAGGTTTGTAAGGAAGATATATTATTTATGTTTGGTAAGAAAGAAGGAGCAACAGCATACCACGCCAGTGCGCCCGCCAACCACCCACACATTACACACACACACAAAAAAAAGAAAGGAAATATTACTGTTACTATCCTAAAATTGTGTCAATATTCGCCAACAATGGCGAAACAAACATAATAATTATACATTATGTTTTGTGACTTTGTGCATTTCCAGCTCACGCACAGGTAGCCTATACGAAAAGTGTAGAAATTCTAATCTATTCTCATTCTCAGTCTTCTCAAAGCCAAAGCCACATGTTGTGAAAGCAGTTCAGTGAGCTAACTGCCAAAGGTTATTTTCTATTTACTTTTTTTTTTGGTAAGAGCTTTACAGCACTTGCAACACAATAAGATCATATAAGTGCTGAAGATTAGAGGTGTTACAATGGAGTAACAAACACAAAAAAGAAGGAGGGGAGACAAAGACGATATATGTTTGATAGGAAAGAAGGAGCAGACCACACCAGATCACCTACTACCAACTACCCAGTGGCACAGGTTAACAACATTAAATAGAAAGACCAAAGCCATGTACATCTATGGACCAAAGCAAAGAAGAGTTTGAGACAGGAGCAACAGAGAAACCAAACTGAAGAACACCACAATACCCCCCTCCCCCCC